TGTGCTATATAGTAAACCGCATACGACAAGAACACCTATATATTTACTTGTAACCAACAACGAATTAGGTTATTACGTAATTTTGGCTGAATAGTAAAATAGGGCAAAGGAACAATACATATCTGTTGTTTCTTCTATCTACGAACTCGTAAATACGTATAATATACGTATATACACATCGGGTATAATCTCTTACACATACACTTATCTATAAGAAATAACAAGCTTGTCCTTGTAGTTAAAATCTACTTTTTTATTTTTGTTCCTATTAGTTATACCATTGATTATAAATATTAGTATTTTTAATACTATACATATTATATTGAATATAATCTTGTATTTTTATCTATTCGTATATTCGTTAAGGATAGACCAAATAGATAAGTATATATACCAAAATACATTACAAATGTTGTACAGAAAAAAGTCATTTGAAATATTATGTTTTATGTAAATATATATTACCTAATCAGTAATATCAGTTAAATTAGTTACATTTACAGACTAGCATAAGCTACATACTAAACAATACAATAATACAACACATTCCGCAATAGCAACAAGTATTCTAGTTATGAATAATGTGTAATTTAATTTTTTATTTGATTAATAAAAATTTATCTGACAGATTAAATAGTTGGGGGAGGGGGCTGAAACCCTGAAGTATTTTCTTTAGTTACCATATTGTGTTTTACCTTACTCCTGAATACTAAAATTGAAAATCGAAGTATCAAGTTTAATTAGTTATATCAACTTTTGTTGGACATTGAGTAGCAAACTATCTAAGTCAACCTTTTATGCTTTAAAACAGATTCAACAAAAAAGTGGGTATTAAATGTATTAATTTATGTATATATATATAAAGATTAGAAAATGAGGCAATAATCCGACAAATAAAATAATTTGATATATGTATTCGCACATTCAAAACTCGTGATGAAATATTAGTGAACGAATGAATAGATAAAATATGACAATCGATTATATACATATATTTATTTATATTTATTACTTATGACATGAATTTAGAGATATGACAAATCATTTATAAATTATAGCAGTTTTAAATAATCTTGTGTTCTTGTTAAAATTGTAGCGTGTCACCGGTTACTCAACGGTACCACAATAATGTTAAGTTGTTAAGTGCTAAGACTGAGACAAGTTCAATGAATAGACTTTTAAAGAATACTTTTTACGGTATTGGTGGTAATTTACACTTAGAAAAATCAACAGTTACAATTATGTGACCTCTTTTTGTTGCGCTCTTATTCAATTAAGTGTCTTTAATTGATCACAATTGTTAACAGTTATTATTTGTTACAATTCAAATTAATTTAATTTCATTACATTTCTAATTTTCCTGAAAATTATTCTAAAAAGCAATTATACAATTTTTTTTAAAAGATTACATTCGCGTGTTTAAAACATATGTTTTTAGTAATTGATTTAATTAATTAAAAAAGTACAAAGAACAAGATTGTTTTCATATAATCTAATATAATAAATTCTAAGGTTAGATAGTAGTCTAGTAATATATGTATGCCATATTATAAAATCATTAAAATCATTGAAATCAAAATATTATTACATTTGTTTTACGGAATTATTGTTTTAAGATTTGAAATTGTTAAGTTGTTATGTATAATAATGTACACGAGTATGTTTAAAGTGTAAATTGTGAAGAATGAATTACGTTATAACATCGTTCGTTATAAAAATAATCCGAAATTATGGTGACTTTTGATACGAATTTGGATTTTAATTAATTATATAATTTTATAATACTTTCTATAAATGTAATATAGGCGAAATACGTTGAACAATAATTAACATTAAAGTTATTTTTAGAATGTTATTTTCCTACTTGCCAGTCGTCGGCAGAAATTTTCTTTTTGTAAATGATAATATAACGTCAATAAAGATGAACTATTATGGTGTGTTTTTGTGTGTCTATTCGTGTATAATTATACTGAAAACTGTGGCATGCAAAAATTGATGTAAATGGCTATTGATAAATGGTGAATTAAGAGTTTATATCGGTAAAATACATTCAGACGTTCCGGGGTCATTTAGTACATGTATACCTATATTTATAAATTAATCGTTAGTGTCTGGGATTACAGAATGATATCCGAGAATAGATATATCATAAAAATGTTCAATATTTATGCCGAGCAAAAGTAATATACGTGGTCAGTATGAATCGTTAAAAGAATTATGTAGGTATATACACATAATTAAAGACCGGATTTAATAGATATTGCAATTATTTATTGACTAACCAGGTAAATCAAATCTGATCAAATATGTACACGAATCGGATCAATTACAGTCTTCCTATTTAATTTAATAATACAATTTTTTGGAATTTTCAACGATTTTGAAATTTTTGCAATTATTGCAAATTTTGTATACTCCACGCGGTAAAATATACAAATTATTATTTCTAAAGTAATTTTACAAAAAAAATATAATTACGGCGTAAATTTTTACATGTTGTTAACTACAGTTTAGCATTTTTAAGATTATATTTAACAGAGTTATCCACAAAACTAACAAGTTTAGAAGAATCAAATAGTCAATTACTTAATAGTGTAAACATATTAAGTGAAATTGAAAATATTTCAGGTCCCAATGAGAAAATAGTAGAAGGTATATTAAAATTTGTCTTAAAAAAAATGAAGGAAATAAAACTATTTAAACTTACTCTGAGATCATGACAGGAAATCAAAATGTTTAGATATAACGCCAATATTTTTAAATATTCATCGATAACAAGTGTAGAAATTGAACGTTTATTGTATAAACATATTTTAAGTAACAGACGATACAATTTTCAAAAACACAATTTAGAGATATATAAAATTATAAATTTTAATTCAGAAAAATAATATATTTTGTAAATATTATATTAATATCTATAATATTATTTAAGTAATTAATAAATGTATTAGATATGATTTTACTATGTAATTTTAATATATTTCTCATTGACATTTTAACATATTTATACTGCAATTTTGATAAATTTTCATTGCAATTTTGGCATCTTTTTAGTGCAATCTTAAGATATTTTTAATGCAATTATATCCGGTCTTAAATTATAATATACATATTATACATTATACACTATTGTGCGCCAACAGTATTATTTACTGACAAAAGCAAAAATAAAAATAAATACACACGAGAGAAACATATTAGTGATAAAAATTGTTTTCTTAACGTTCAAATACAGAACTATACGAAATAAAATGTCCGGAGTATAACAAATTTCTGTTTGTGTAATCCATTCTCATTTCTCAGCATATTGTATTTATTTGTGAACGGATATTCAATAACAATCTGTAGATAAAAAGGACGCACATACTTTCAGATTTTTTCAACACATGGTAGTAATACAATTGTCGACGGGCGAGAACTATATGTATGTATATATATATATATATATTGCTCCAACGTATTTTACAGATTAATTATGAACTAGAATGCATGGACAGCAATGCCAATAATATTTCATTTGGTTCATAATACATGGGAAACGGTTAAAACGTTGATAAGCAGACTGACGTTTTCGTCGAATAAGGGAAATTCTCGAATCACTCTCAAGCAATATTTACGTTTAAAATGTTGAATACACAGTATATCATTATACCGTATAAGATAACGCTGCCGTGGCAAATTTATCTACGCTTCGTAAGATCTTACACACGGTGTCCACATTCTGAGTAGGGTTGCCATGCATTGCCATTTACATGCCATTTACAAGGCGAAACCGGGACAAAACCAACACATTATTGAATAATATACTTTTTAATTACTTTTAATGTATTGAGAGGAACATTAATGTCCGGCAATATAATATTTAAAAATATTTATGTAAAATAAAATATATCAGTGTGTTCTAGCGGAATTAAAATGGGGTGACGGGGATTCATATCCGTAAGTACGATTTTAGAGGGTGTAATTTTTGTATTATATAATATATTATTGCCTATTTGTTTGATATTTTAAATTTGTAACTGATAATGTATTTAAAACTCAATAAGTACGATTGTATGCTAATTATTAGTATAAAACTGTACGGAAGGAGGTATTTGATTCTTGATATATGATGGGGCGTAATGTTAAACATTTTCCTCGGGTGTAAAAATCCCTAGTTCCACATGTGCGTATGGCTGTTCGTCATAAATCAATTGTAACAATGGTATATCATGCGGTGTGCGTTCTACAATAGGGTCTTATTATATCGCTAAACTACAAACCATTGTCGAGCGCGATACAGTTACGTTCTGTAGTATTAATTTTAAAAACTGACTTATGAAATAAACTACGAAAAAGTCGTCGGATACGTGCGCCGCACACACGGTTTTCCCTGTCCGAACGCATGCGGTGTGGGCGAACACAAAAGAAACCGTATGCGGACCGGTCCGAACTTGCGTAATTTTGACAACTTACCGATGCACAAAATACCAAAATACAACGCACACGAAAACATTGACTGCGAATCGACTGCAACCGAGTAGTACAACTTAGCTTGTAAGTGCGCAACAACGATCCACGAATCAATATTTGAAATACACAAATTATCCATCAGCTACCAGACATTATTTCATAAAATGTTTAATATGTAGAATAACGATGTGCGATTCGAATCGTAGCGATAAAATCAACTATAATACACATTATAATTGATTGTTTTGTGTTGTAAAATTAAAAGTGTAGGCCGAAATGTTCTAAATAACTGCCTGAGTAATGATTATGCGAATAATCTCGATTTATTATTATCGTTTTCTATCGAACCATACGAATTATATCCGTACACGTACATAAAAAAGGTTCGTCGGTGGACTTGCCGGTTCTGGGGAAAAACAAAAATAAACCTCAGATAACACGAAACCGGTGGTCGTCGTTCGCGATCACATCTCGATTCCGACGCAACGCCGTTCGGCGCCGCCAGGTCGCATTCTTGGAACGGCGGGTTTTTTGGGGATATGTCAGTGTTTATTTTCACGCGAACCGGACACGCAAAGAAGTTTCCCTTTCGGATTTTCTTCTTTCCATGATCTATTGTTGAACAACATACCCCGCGAACCGTGAACACACCGCGCTGATCATTGATGCACCACCCGTTCGTTTTCTTTCCAAGTCTATTAGCCGTTGCCGCTGAGCTTCCCTTCCCGGCCATCATCGTTATTTCGTGTTTGCTCTTTCGTCCGCTCGCATGTTGCAACTATCCGTCCGACATATTTATCGCACTTGACCGTAAATTGCCTATTCCACGTTTATTTTTTTTTCTTCGCCCGTTTCAACGCCGGCCGATCCGTTTTTAATTTTTTCTCGCTTTAGAACGTCTTTCAACCCGACTCGTAAGTATTATTGTTTTTTTATTTTATTTATAATTCTTATTAAATTTTTCCACTTCGGTCAACACTACCATGTGGTTAACGTCAAATGTCAACCATTAGCGGTTGTGTTTTTAGAAAGTTTTTCACCGCGTTCTTTTAATTAAAATTAAGGTTGAGAACTTATAGTACTTAAACATTTCAAATTATGTATGCATTAGAAAAATAAAGTGAGTATTCGAATTTATTGAAATTTAAGTATTTTTTTTATTCTAATAGGTAGTTCAATGTTGTATTTCTATTTCGTTGTGAAACAAAATTATACATCGCTATCATTGCTTTGCGATCTTTCTAGGTTAATATGTATAAACCATAAGTCCTCGGCCTTATTTATAACAAATGCTAGGGCTCGTTCATGCTTTTATTAATGACTAAATAAGCATACAGTTATAGTCTAAAAACAAGGAAAATATCCTTATAAAGTTAAGAAATAAGCCATTATATACATAAAATATTCGCATTAAGATAAAAATTAACAGTCTGAAATAATTAGAAATACCTAATCATAATTTTAAATTTATATTTAATTTATTAATGTTATTGTTTTAATAAATAAACTTAAATGTAATTTTTTATTCTTTGTACTGTGTACTTTGTATCACGGGCGGGTTTAAGGGGGTGGCTAAGGGGCATTAGTCCCCCCCCCCTGGGACTAAGCTATCTATTTTACAAAGCAAAGTATTATTATATATTAATAATTATAATAAAATCGTCAATGGTCATTGATAATTCTGGTACTTATTTTATACATTTTTTTTAGAAATAATTACCACACTTTCGTTGTTAATTATATATATTTACCTATATTTTAAAATGGTTTCAGATTAAAATTGATACCTATAATATAACTATTTAAACTTCGTCATTATTGTGAAAAAATGATTTATGAGGGACTCAAAAACATATTCTGTAATTTAAAATTTTATATAGATTTAAAAAACGAACTAACTAAATTCTTAAACCTCCATTAGCCCTCCCTTGGTTAGTGTTAAAACCCGTCCCTGCTTTATATGTAGCATGCTTTTCCAACTTTATTGATATCGCGAACTTCTTTTTCATTTATTAATATATATTATATACCTACATTTATTGTATTTAAACTGTGAAAAAAATTATACTACCTAGTGTGGACTGCTTAGTTTTACTTGGTTTATATTACAATTTTAAATTATACTATTAAATTATTTACAATAATATAATTATACTATCAACATTAATTCGATAATTATTTTTCTATTCAAATTAATTTAATTAATGAAATTAATAGTTTTTATTATTAATTTTAATAATATATCGTGCAATTTTGGTTTAATGTCAAAATATTTTTTGTGAAAATATCTCATGATAATAATGTCTTTGATAAAAATATCTTTTAAACTGATTAACTGATTCACAATTTTTTAAATTATGCATATTTTATGAATCAATTATATCATAATTTCCCAAAGTGTACGCCGCGGCGCCTTAGTGCGCCGTGATGTAGGTATAAGGGCGCTGCGCTGTCATGAAATACTACCGGGTCTAACATTTTCCTTATGATTAGTCATAATATGACTTAGAGAAGGGCGCCCTGAAAAAACCTTGAAATAAAAAGGGCGCCCTGAAAAAACCTTGAAATAAAAAGGGCGCCTTGAGTCGAAAAAGTTTAGGAAGCTCTGAATTATATCAATTATAAAAATCATAAATCTTATAATCATAAGTAATTATGTGCCTACCTTTTGATTTTAATTCAATAATAATATTTAATTAATTATAAAAATGTAGAGAGAAAAAAAAGAAAGAAAAATATGTAACTAAATAAATAAAAATAAAACATTTTATGAATCATTTATCGTAGAAATGTTAATTGTTTTGCATTATTTCTGATGTCATTTAAATTTTTTCAATCAAAAATTGATGAAGTTGAGACAATATTTGCACTGTCCTAAATCTAATGTCCAGGTTAGTTGATCAGTTTCTTGCCGCTGCTGTAACATTATAGAGAAATTTCATTCCTATTTATATGTTGTGTACTGGATATTTTATTTTGAGTAACATGTCCACAATTGCATTGTGGTATGTCATTTTTATTAGGGTCATTTAGTCTTCATTCATCAGTTAATTTAGTGTTAAGGTTATAGTTTTAATTTATAAATTTTTAAGCTAGCTTTCTAAGAGGCTTACAAGATTTTAATCTTTTGCTGGGATCAGAGCCGGACTAGGTCATAAATTTGTACCGGGGAAAGAAAAAAACACCCCATTTTATATGATATACACTTGATATATCAAAGGTAAAAAAACAACCCTTAAAAATACGTATATTTTCATATAAAATTATTGTATATTATTTTGAGATATTTGAAAGTTAAAAGACTATTTAATTTTAGACAGTTTCTAATGCAATTGTATTAGAAAATGCGTCTATATCTGTCAACACAATGGGCCTAAATAGATAAACCTAAAAAAATAAAAAATCTATCCAACGAGTAAAAGTGGCCCATTGGAAACTCCTGGTATCTCACCTGCCCAGCCTGGGATTATTATTATTATTTGTGTATATGAGTAAACTTCTATTTAAGATATGATTTTTGTATTGTATTTGGATATTTTACTTATATTTTATGTAATCAATTTCATCTTGTATTAGTATTATTATAATTGGATCCAAAGAATAATAATTTTTAATTTAGTTAATAATTAATATAATATTACTACTATTTATAAATGTGTAATAAAAAAAATGTTTTTTCCTTATTAAAATTCTAACAAATGTTTTATTTTTAGTTATTTGATTATATACTAATATTTGTTTGTTATTAATGAGTACTATTGTGAGTTCTTAACCATAACTGTACTTTTCACACTAAATTTACTGTAATATACCTTGTTGTTAATTTGATTGTATCACAATATTTAAGTGTTAAAATAATATTAAATATAGAGTAACAAATACTGGCAAGGGTTTTATAGAGGTTTCATTAATACTTAACAATAAATTATCATCAATAATCTTACCTTAAATAAATCAACATTAAAAATCAAATAGTAATACGATGGTACGAAATGGTAGATCTTATACTGATGACTAAGTACATAAAATTTGGTATTGATTTGGATCTCTTGCATATGCTGCCAAATTTACTTTATTGTTGGTTTTTCTTCAACTAGTTATTTTTACAACTTACTGTGTAACAGTGCTTAGATAGTTTAGTTTAATGGCTTACATGTTATAACATAGTGCTTACATTATATATATTTTTTTTTTTATAATGTTTTAATACATAACAAAGCATTTTTTTTTAATTATATGCTAATTTCAAGTACAAGGAATATTACAATACTTTACATTGGATCATTACTTGGTAAATGTGTATTGTTTTTAAAAGAACTTTTATAAGATGAGTATCTTACAAAGAAGTTAAATTCTTTGTTGATCTCTTAGGAAAAAAAATTCAAAATTTCATTTTCTGCAGAATTATTTGATACTCATTTTATTAGATAAATTAGAAAAAAAAATTATTTTGTACATCATTAGATTGATTTTAATTTGAATTCACTTCTGGCTTTCGCATTATTAGAAAATGTGGTAAATTAATTACCTAACTACTTTTTTAAACTGAGTATTTGTTGTTTATCTTCTATCATGTTTTATCCGATTAGTTTTAAAGAGAGGGTGAGATATGGCAGTATAATAAACATGATTATATAAATTACTATTACCATTTATCGAGTTCTTTGTGTTTGTATTATATTTTATGTTATTAATGACCACTAATCAGGATTATAATTTATTGATAAACAAATAAACTTCTTTTCTTTCTTTTCTAATAAAGTATTTAAATATAATAAAAAATAATATAAGAACATATTGAATACATCTTCGAACATAATTTTGAAATGTATTTAGAATGTGTTAAGTACAAAAAAAAATATGAAAATACTTCTATTCGAATACTTTAAAAGACTGCTAGCTATTTATAATAAAAAGAATGTAATGATAATAAAGAATTAATAATATTGTGAAGTATGTTATGTATTACTTTTATTTTCGCCATGTTCCCTTATTTATATGTCGCCGTTGATCGGGAAGAACTGTTTGTGGAAAGTCCGATGCCTCGCGCTCATGTGAGCGTTGTGTCAAACATTTCAGCGCTTTGGGGCAAAATTTTTTCTACGGGGCCACTGAGCACAGGTGGCATTTTAAATGCAGATAAGGGCGCCCCCTTTTAAAAAACTACGGCGCTCGGTGGCAATGCCCCATTTGATCCCCCCCCCTTAACACGGCACTGCATGGGAGTTTTCGATACATTTTCGTAGCTAATTACCGTGCGCTATGGAACGTTGACCTACACACGTGCATAGTAGAGCTCTGCACGGGATGGGTTAGTCCGGCCCGGGCCGAGCTTGGTGTTAACGAAACCGGGTTAGGGCTGGGCCAGGTCATTTTTGTTTAAATGGGCCAAAGCAGTGCTTCATTTGCGATATTATTAATTGATAAATGGTTTTATTTAAATTTAATTTATCATTTGATTTATAGTGTCGTAACGAATTATCGATAACCGGAAATTCAGGAAGACGTATTTTACAATAATCTATTTATAACTAACTTTGGGAATACTATTCTTCTCAATAGTATAGTTCGTCTTCTGTACCTTAAATTATTAGTAGGGATCGGATTTCAATGCATTAGCATCTTTTTTTTGGGATTTTTTACGCGATGCTTTCCAAGCTACAAATTTGTTTCAGGTACTCGTGTTCTACTCACAAACATTTTTTGCATTTTTAGCGGATTCTATACTTTTTAGAGCATTTTTTTGACGTTTTTAATACATTTTTTTATATTTTAGGACATTTTTGACTTATTTCTCGTATTATGACTGACTTCAGTTGATGTTGAGAGGTCATTTTTAGTATATAAAAACTTATTGGCAGACAACCGTCGATCGTACAAATTTCATAACTTAAAAGAAATACTAATCGTATAGTGAAATTCAAATATGTAATTTAATTTTTAATTCAATTTTTGATTTTATTTTTTTTATTTTTTGTAGTGTAATGTGAATAAAATTTCATTTTTTTAATAATAATTTGAATTTATTTAATAAATGATACATTTTTTGATATTTTTAAGTCATTTTTTAGAGTTTTTAGGTCATAAATGCATTTTTTGAAAGGGCATTTTTTTGATCTTTTTAAGACATTTGAATCCGAGCCCTAGTTATTAGAAAGTATTACTTACTTCAAAAGTAACTAATTCTCTACATTTAAATGTACATACTTTGCTTAAATCATTAAAACATTTTGCTAACAATCTATTTTTATGTTATAATAAAGTTCTACCTCATTAAAAAAAAATATATATTTATTTATTGTTTTGACTGTAAAGTGCTTATTATAATGTTTTATTTTGTTATTTATAAAGTTTTTAAGTATTCTCTTGTATGCTTGAAATATTCCTAAGTATAATTTAAAAAGTTATTGCTTCCCCTTGCTTTATTTAATTAAAATGTTCTTTTATAAAAATAGTAGTAAGTAGAACTTTTAATGTTTATTTTCTAACAAATAGAAAACAACTCCAGTAGCACCAATTCTTTAACAGAAAGTTTATGACCAATATAAACTACTTATGTATTTAATTGGCAATTTGATATTTTTAACTTTGTTTAATATTGTTGAGTATGATTATTTTTTAATTATTAGAAAAAAATTCTCGAGAAGAGTATTTGATTATTGATCGATGTTTGGGCGTAATTTTAACATTTTCCTCGGGCGTAAAATTCCTAGTTCCACCTAGGGTTGCGCAAAAACGATAATGGTTCGATATATCGATACAGTTTTATATATTGATATTAATGTCATATATATAAATAACAAAAAAAATATATATATATAAAACAAAAATAATAAAATATTTATTATTTTAATATATAATTATGTGTATATTGAATATTATAAAATTTACAACTTGTATGGTAAAACATTTAGAAAATTAGAAATTCAGAACCAATACTTATCACCAATGTTCGGAACTTGATGCGGTAAAAAGTACTAAAATTTGCGTTGAAAACATCAAAATATGCGGTATAATGTGCAGTAAAAAGAGTGAAAATAATTGCTTAAAATATAATAGATTGACTAGTGTACACTGTACATTGAAGTCGTTTGCTTGCATGCAGTGTATGTAATATTATAACGAACAGAAATAATATTGTGTATAAGTTGATAACTTAATGGTGCCATATTAGCATCAAACAAAAACCCAAACATAGCCACTTATGATATACAATTCCATTTAAATCAAATTTCCAACTGGACTAAAAAATGGAAAATTAAAATTAATGAAAAAAAATCGGTTCAAATAAATTTTTTTCTTAGTAAAAAAGAATGTCCTCAACTATCACTAAATAATGTACAAATTCCTATCAAAAATATAACCAAATACCTAGGAGTTCATTTAGATAAAAGACTTACCTGGGCCCATCACACTAAATAAAAAAGGAAACGGTCTAATACACGCCTACATCTCTCCTTCGTCTATTATTATCTCCTTCTATGAGTTTATAAACAAAATATTAATATATAAGACGATTATTACCCCCCCCCCCCCCTTTGGTCATATGGTATCCAAATCTGGGGCCAAGCCAAACTATCTAATATAAGACCCATATAAGCTTTCCAGTCCATATGTCTTAGATAAATAACTGGTGCCCCTTGGTATATGACCAACGACGCACTACATTAGTATCTACAAATCCAAACAGTCAACGATTTAGCAACTCGTCACCATAAAAAGTTCCACTCCAAACTGCACTTAAACCAAAGCTCTCTTATTTCTCGCATGTCCTCTATAACCTTACTCAACAACCCTCTAAGGAAAATTAAAAAGAAAATGACCAAGAGACCCCTTCGCCTAACACACACGCACACACACACACACAAAAAAAAAAAAAACAGTCCCTATAATATGAATCCATCAAACTAATTAGGAGGTACTGTTGATGGACGGTATCCCCCCCTCAATGTATACATGCCATGTTTTATATTATATATCATCAAATTTACTTATTGTACTACTATATATATAAATCTAATTAAATAAATACTTGTAATTTAGTGAATAGGAACGATTTTAACAGTTTTTATTTTTATGGTATCGATATCACGAAAACTGTTTTATAAAGATCACATATATAGAATTATATACTAATAGTATATAATTCTATATATAACTTATAAACTTTATTTTTGGTATAGTATAATACTATACCAAAAATAAAGTTTATAAGGTTCGCGTAATAACGATTGTCATAAAGTGTTTTCCAACTTTTAATAAACCGCGAATGTGTATTTAAAAGAGAATATTATCTGATTTCTGAGTACAAAGTAGTAAATAAAAATGTATTATTTACCGATTTAATCATTTGATCATCGGACAAAGAATTGCCGTCTATTTAAAATTTCTTAGAGTGGGGCATTTGCAATAGTCTGCTCTCCCCCCAATGACGCCCTCTGTCGACAATGCACCCATATTATAATATTTTAATATAAATAAAACAATTTAAGTCCTCATATATTTTTAGATTTTATTGCATTTGGACTTGATATCTAACTTAAATTCTGCTTAAATTTTTACTTAATTATTATACTTAAAATTATACTTAATCAACTACAATTAAACTAATTGTTTTAAATTTTTTTGTAATCTTTAATTAAATATTCAGCACAGTTAAAAAATATGTTTTCTACTTTATCAAGTTCATGTAAAAAGAAAAAAGTTGACGCGAGCGAGTGATTGTCCTAATAGCGAGCGATCTATAGGCGTGCGCTATATGTCCAGGAAATAGTGCTGGTCATTTGCGTCTGAAACAAAAATATTTGTTTTGACACGAACGATATTGTTATCACCCGTCCGTCCGCCTGTTCATCATCTAAATTGGACATTCCAAATACAAAATCTATTTTGAATTTTATCGCATCACCCGCCCGCTCGTCCGCTCACAAAATCGCGTTCAATGTAGACACACCGTTAATCAATATATTTATAAATGCTTGAAATATATTTCATTTTTAAATATTCTTTAACATGACCATAATCTATTGTTTTCCATTTATAAATGGTTTTAAAATTATTTTTATATATATATTTTTTTTTTAGGATTAAAATGTCTGACGGTGAATGGGGTGATGAATCTTCAAGTTCAAATAATAGAGGACGTGGTCGCGGTGGCCGTGGTGGTGGACGTGGAAGAGGAAATTTCAATAGAAACAATGATTTTGACTCATCCCAAGGAGGTGATAGTTGGGGAAATGATGGCAATAATGGTGGAGGAGGAGGATGGATTGATAGAAATGATCAAGGAGATGGATTATCACGTGGTCGAGGTAGAGGAGGTGGTAGGGGTAGAGGAGGTAGGTCTTTTGATAATAACGCTGATGATGGAAATGGTTTCGGCGGTGAGGGTGATCAACCTCCTGTGTCTGATAAGCCTAGACCAACATATATACCTCCAGAACTAGATGACAATGACTTTAATAGTGTTGAAGTCGGCATGAATTTTGATAAATATCAAAATATTGAAGTGAAAGTGAGCGGTGACTCTGTTCCAACACACATAGAATCTTTCAAAAATTCAGGCTTACGTGAAGTTTTAATAGAAAAATTGGAGAAATGTAAATATACTACACCTACCCCAATTCAGAAGTATGCCATTCCAGTTATAATCAATGGCCGAGACATAATGGCTAGTGCACAAACTGGTTCTGGTAAAACTGTAAGATATTAATGTGCTGTAAATATTTTAATATAATATAATATATTAAAATGTAGTATTTGATTTTTGTTGAACAAATATGTAATTAATGATTATTTATTGTTTTATAGGCTGCATTTGTTTTGCCAATTGTACATACTTTACTAAGTAAACCAATAGATTTAGTATTTGAACGAGATTATTGTGAGCCTCAATGCATTATAATGTCTCCTACCAGGGAATTAGCTATACAAATTCGTGATGTTGTACATAAATTAACCATAGGCACAGTTATAAAGCATTCAATTCTTTATGGTGGTACTGCTACAGGTCATCAGAGAAATCAACTAGCTGTAAGAAAATTCATCTAAAATCTTTCTTTTTTTTTTAATATTGTTATTTTACTTTTATTCTAGAATGGTATTCATATAATTGTAGCAACACCTGGACGTTTAAATGACTTTGTTGGGAGAGGAATTGTATCCTTTAAGTCTATTAGATTTTTCGTTTTGGATGAAGCTGATCGGATGTTAGATATGGGTTTTAAACCAGATATAGAAAAAATCTTGAACCATCAAACTATGGTTGATCGCGTAAGTATTTACATTATATATTTTCATGAATCAATATAAATAATTCATTTTTGTAGCATTCTAGACAAACTCTTTTATTTTCTGCTACTTTGGCTGATGATATTCAAATGATGGCTAAATGTTATTTGAAGCCAGACTATGTGTTTATTGCTGTGGGTGAAATTGGAGGTGCTTGCAAAGATGTAAAACAAGAAATTCGAGAGGTTACGAAGTTTGAAAAAAAAAAAGAACTAATCAAAGTTTTAGAATCATTAGGTTATTATTTTGAAATATACTTAATGATTGAAATAGTTGTGAACACTTATTTAATATTCTTTGTATTCTTGTTCAGGTGATTGTACGGGTACCATGGTTTTTGTTGAACAAAAAAGAAATGCTGACTTCATCGCTGCGTTTTTAAGTGAAAAAGATTATCCTACTACTAGTATTCATGGTGATCGTGAACAACCAGAAAGAGAACAAGCTTTACGAGATTTTAAGAACAATAAAATGAAAATTTTAGTTGCTACTGCAGTTGCAGCAAGAGGTTTAGGTTTGTATTATTCCATTTATTTATAATTTAACATATATCAACTTTAGTAAGATATTTTATATGTTTTATTATTCTACATAAAAATTGGTGAAATTTGTTACTTAATTATTCTCATATTTTTAAAAATTTTAGATATAAAAGGTGTGAACTGCGTGATTAATTTTGATTTACCTAGCTCTATTGATGAATATGTACATCGCATTGGTCGAACAGGAAGATTAGGTAACTCTGGGCGAGCAGTTTCATTTTATGATAGTAGTTCTGATAATAGTTTATCATCAGAATTAGTTAGAATTCTTAAACAAGTGAGTTCCTCTTAAATTATTTTTCCTTTCAATATTTTTTATTTAATGTTGGTTTGTAGGCTGATCAAGAAATACCCTCATTTTTGGGTGGTGGTGGCCATAATGGCGGATATGGCGGAGGTCAATCATTTGATGATGTTAGACAACATAATAACACGGTAATTGATTTTGAATTTAAAAAGATTATAGTTACAGATATACTAACATTGTATATAGAATACAATTAATTTTCAAGTTTGAAGTTAATTCTTTTTACTATAAAATATTCTTAATACTGGATTTTTAAAGATATTATTTTAAATTTGCCTTCTTAAATTAAATTAGCTTATAATTGTTATCTTTATATATTTTACATGAATGGAATTTAAATTACAGGATAATAACATTTCTGCCGCCGATGAAGATGCATGGTAAAATAATTGATAACCTGTATTACAATTCTCATTGATTTAGTTAACATAAATATTGACTGATTCTTTTTTTATTTTTAATTACCTTTAAGTTACTTAAATATTTAAATCCTCTGCTTAAGTTATGATTATCAGTTTGTCATTTCTTAATTTGTATATATAATATATATAACGACAATATGGTATATTTTTTTTATTATTATTATGTTGTTATAACTTAAAATATTTGCTCTTGTTTTTTAATATAAAAACAAAATTTATTAATTGCATTTTCATTTTTATACTAATATGAATAAATAACATCTTATTGCGAGTTTATAAAGAAAGCGGAAAAGAGTCAGGAGTGGAAAATAGCTACCAACTAGCAAATAAAGATATTCGTCTACAGCCGTGATTCTAATCCTTTTCTCGTTCATGTCACCTTCAGCCACTAGAATAAAACACTGCATCACCCTAACATCACAATAATGAATAATCTTACCTTTGTATTTTAGAATAATTCTTGAAATAACAAAAAAAATAAAAAAAATACAGTACATAGAAAAATAATAAGCACACCTACAATTTATTTGAGTTGCAGGGCTCTATAAACATTGACAGTTAAAAGTTTTAATTTGAAAATTTAAATTTAAAAAATAATAATGATTTGTATGAGAACTGATTAGAAATCAGGTCCTAGTGGTTTTTATAAAAATTGAGGAAGTCGAGGGCTGATGGTGGAAATGGTGGATGATTGTCTTCTAGAGTTGTGGAGCTATAACAGTACATATCTAGCGACTGCAAAATGACTGACAAACGATTATGGTTAAATCGATAAGATAATCCATAATGCAATAATTACGCCAATCAAAATGCTGAACGTTTTTTATCGGATATAAATAAAACAAAGACACAAACTTAAAGGTATGCTATTTACATGGAAGTTGTGGCAATATGATTTCATTAAAATTAATTTTTTTCCTTTTCCCTTGGAGATTTCGTGTCGCCTCTACATTGTGTCCATGTCAGCCCGGTTGAGAACCACTGGTCTACAGTGATAACCAGTAACCTCGCAAAATATTAAAATAATAATTGAAAATCCTTGAGTGAACCATTGAAATGAAACCGGTTAACTGTATAGATTTTTAAGTATTTTCTTAGTATTTTTATATCAATGATGGTGTTACATATTGCATTTACCGTTTTATCGATTTTGAGACCAATAAACTATAAATTATAGTTTCTACTGACAAAAAAAATTAATATAACTAGGGCAAAAAACTTAAAGCTCTAAAAAACCACTAAGTATGCAAGTGTGTGTGCCCTAAAAACCATATAATTATGCACTAAAAATATGTTTGTTTTAAAGCAAATTAAAAAATATATTAACATTTAAATATTGTATAGAATTAAACTGCTTTTCACATCATATTTTAATTTCACAATACATACAGTATAAGACTACTGTCAGTGATGTAAACACTAGGTGTGTAGAATGTGCATTGCACACAGGCCCTAGGCCTCAAAAAGACCAATGACTGGCATGATAAATTCACTATAATTTATTTGTATTAAATCAATGTTATTTGCTAACTTCACAATACTCCTGTTCATTTTAGGTTATTGCCTTATGTTTTCGTGTTTAGATAATTTTATAGTTATTGTAAAAATTATATGAAAACAATGTGTACTAATTGTTTTAAAAATATATTAGTATACCCATTGCAAAAATTCGCAATAGATAATTTATTTATTTAATAAAAAGTATGGTGCAATCGAATCAATACATAAACACATTTTAACAAATCAATAAGTGAGTATAATATTGAAAATTGAAAGATATATCGGAATGACAGAGAGTCAGTGCCGCAACAATTGGATGTGCAATGCACACGGGCATCCGGTTGAAAGGGTTCTCCCAAAGCAAAAGCTATAAATTGAAGATTGTTTCAAAATTTATCTATCTATTATAGGTAGTCGTTGCTTTCTCGTGACTCGTGCTTCGAAAGTATTTTGATTTTTTTGAAGTTGATTTTCAATAAATTTATTATTAGCATAAGTAGATGATAATTATTGTTATGCAAGTACCTAGTATTTTAAAATGGATCATTAAATAATTCGGTTTTACCGTAAACGTTTATCAATAATATCAGAAATTTTTTTTCATGAGAACCCGGTGGGATAGTAAAGTCATGGCTGTTATATTATTTAATAGTTTAGTACTTATTTATAGTTTTGCTGTCTATAATGTTGCTATTATCGATTATAGTCACTTATTGAGTGTCTCGACTTATTGACGTACAAATTATACGTATTACGTAAATAATATAAAGTATAACAACATGATTTATGAAATAATAGTCATTGTAGCAAGGACCTTATCTTTTATTACTAGTGGCGGCATTGCTGCAGATTTTACGCGTCACATTGTATATTTAAAAACTCATTTTATCTCAAAACTGGGGTTGTCCTGTTGAAGTAATAGAGTAGTAGAGTTAGTAGTAATAGAATCGTTGATTATGTTTGAAGTAATACAAGCGGTGTCGAGATTGATTGATTTCGTTATCCTCTTCTTTCGCCAGGACAGCGAATTTATTTGGCGAAACGAATGATCTAGATTTTTTATGTTCTGTTTGAATTGGTGAATTTGGAGATGATGGCAGCAACCGTTTGGGCTTGGACATTTTCGGAGAGGTGTTAACCATAAAAATAATGAAAGCTCGAACAGATAGGAGACCGTAATAGATTACATATTAATTAAATTATAACGCGATAACTGAGCGAACAATCGCATAACTTGCGACCGCATTGCGTGTCAACACCGAACTGTAAGAAAATATAACAAGTAAAAATTATTTAATTGCTAGAATTGTTGAAATGATGGTTAAGTTTATTCAAAAATCTAATACTCTTGTAAAATTTTCACGTGTCTATAGTTTATACTAATTGGTAATTACCAAATATTGTAGCAATAAATAATTATCTTGTATTTAGTATTTTCAAAATTATAAAAATACGCTTGATTTTTGACAAATAACGGTTTATGGCTAAATTACAATACCGGCCCTTTGAGATGCTCTTTAATTAGAAAGTGGTAAATGCCCATCTTGCCCCCCCCCAAATGACGCCACTGCTTTGATGTCGATGTGTTTCCAACTGACGGTAGTCGGTGCCAGTGCTATGATTTGCGAGGTTTGTCTATGCAAATCATAAACGTGAAGTCCTGGATCTGAATATACTAAAAAATAGAAGCGTGAGACCCAAGAGCTGATCCAAAAGTTCGAGGCCCTGTACGATTGCATTTTCTGCATACCCCACGCGCTAGCACTGGTTACATGTGTATTTAATCTATACTACATAGCACGCCCTTTTTATGTACGCTTTAGTTTTGGATTTAACTATACTGTACCGCTGCATAGATTAAATACACATATAGTATATTAAACCTATAACCGCTGTAAGCACTGTACTGTTAACGAATTTTTGTATAGATTTCTATACTTAGATATTACTATTATTATTGAAAAAATAACCCTATAGGCAACAAAATTATCTCTGTTTTTATTAAATATTTATTTTAAATTATTTAATGGTTTTTACAATATTATGTTATACATAATAAACTATGTGTTATTAAAAAAAAAAAAAATTGAAAACAAAGGTAAATATTTAAATAATTTATAAAAATATATTTAAAATGGCATATTTTCGTGATTTTTCGGTAGCGATATCTTCAAAGTATATGCTATTCAACAGTTTTGATTCGATAGTCAACAGCTTATTGAATTTAGACGATCTTCTAATTTTGATAAATTTTAATTGATTTTAAAGTTGAAGACGTTTTAGGTGATCAGCACATTTCGATACTTCCTTGTATAAAGCATATTGCATACCTATGGCTATAATAGTTCTTAGAAAAATAGTTTGTAAATTTTTATCACAAATAAATTACAATAAATTCTCAATAACTATGAGACTATTTTCAATAATTCTCTAAATATGTGACTGAAAATAGTTCTATACTCGCTTGCATCTGTATTATGTTCGAAGAACGAATAACAATATTCAGCCTCATTGATCCATTTTACTATCTTACTATCATTTTACTATCATTTTACTATAGTATAATTATATTACGTAAATAGATTAGATTTTATTATCAATGCACATCACATACAACAAAACAGTTCAAAAATCACCTCAGCTAGCTTAAGCGCTAACAATTTGTAACTGATTTGAAATTACAAAAAATGTGTTACTGGATTTATATTAGATTATAATATTATATATACAGGCTAGTATATTATGCACTTGTAGTTTAATGAAAACAAGACAAACAATTAGTTTTAAAACTGGAAACACATTAATTTAGTAAATACATTTTTTTTTTTTAAGACAAATTTATTCCACACGAATCAAATGTAAGTTTTTTTTTTGTAACAAAAATATTTCGCGTGGAATAAATGAATTGACAATATATTTTACAGATGACATTCAATCAAGCAATAAATGATTTGCAAAACAAGCTAACCTGTGAAAAAAAAAAAATATGTGAACTAGAAACAAAATTAGTCACATATGATGCAGACATCGAAAAGAAGAATGAGTTGAAAGTGAGAAAAGGCAATTTGCAACAACGGGCAGAAGACCTCGAAATTAAGTTGAAAAAAATGAATGAAGAGCAACTATGCATGGTTAGCGCACAACAAAAAAAACTAAAATCAAGCGAAGAAGAAGAAAGTTGTTTACGATCAAAAATTAACAAAGAACATGAGTCCAATGTATGCATGACTAAAAAGATAAATAGACTCAAAGAGAGTGAACAAAGACTTTTAACTGAAATAGAAAATTTGGAAAAAGTAAAAAATGGCCTTGAAATTGAATTATGTAATGCTGAAGTAAGTATAATTATAGTTATAACAAATAATAATCATTTATTTTTATTTTTTTTTAATACACATAATTATGTGTATGTATATTTTGTATTGCTGAAGTTAATAATAACTTCTACATTCTAAATAAATAGGTACTCAAGATACTCAAACAATAATTGTTGTTTAATATGAATTCCTAATTATTAGGAATTTATATTAAATAATAATATAATTATAATGATAATTATTAATTTAAGTCTTTTAAATGTAGACGAATTAAATTATTTATATAATACAATAGAGTAAGTAATTAAATTATCTCAAACTGTGTTCATCCAAATAATAATCTAGGTTTTTATGATTATATAAAAAAATTATATAAAATTATATAAAATTATATGTTCATTTAACTTTAGTACCTATCTATATTACTTCAAATTAAATAAAATAGAAAGTACCATTTATCATGAACGAACTTAAATTAAATGCCTAATCAAAATACTTAGGTGGAAAAAAAATAATAATTTTCGGTCGCAATAACACGTATCGGAAGGGGTATAAATACAAGTGTAAAGAAATTTGAGTTATTTAATGTATATTATATACCTATTGACATTTATTATTTATTTTTTTAATAAATTATATTATTAAAAAGTCTGAACATTGAAACTAGTTTGAAAATTTGCTTCAAGTCAGTGGGGTATCTAGGTATCTTTTATGGGGAGGATATAAAATATTACACTTGAAAACTATAGTTTATAGTTAATAAAAATTAATGGAAGATAGTCACTCGACGACTTCATATGATAAAAACTGCTAGCGAGATTCAGAAAATATTTTACGTTTATCCATAAACGTATGGTACTATAATTAAAAACTACTCAGAAAATTACCCTCCGTCAATACGCTACTACCTAAAGTATAATTCGAGTTGTAAAAGCTACGAGAGATCGAGGTTCAAATTATCGCAATTTGACTATTCTTCTAACAGTGGAAAATAGCGAACATTTTTTTTTTATATAAACCTAAATTTGATAAATATATTATGGGAAGTGTCTAAATAAAAAATATTTGAAAAATCTTATTTTGAAATCCTGACGTGGTCTACACATGACCGTAAACAATGTCAGTTGTGAGTTGTCATTTGGATGCCATTTTTTTTTTATTTCCAAATGATTTGAAAAATGTTTAATTTTAATAGTTCCATTAAAACTACATTTTAATGATGTTCAGGAGAAATTTAAAAACATATTTATTTTCTAGATTTATAATAATTGGTAGAAACATATGTGTTAAAAATGTATAATACATTAAATATCTTTAACAGCGGTTTTCAATATTTTTGAGGCCGTGACCTCCTATAATGTCAACAAGATTTTGAGCGATATTTTTATTATGATATCAACATTGAAAAGTAGTGATAAATTAAAATGACTAATAAAATGTTTTTATTGGCAATCCTAAAATTTTATCACTTGTAATTCTCAACAATGATGATGAAATGTCATGACGATGTTTACAAAAACACCTTCCTGGTTATTTCCATAGACCTATAAACTTAATTTATAGGTCTATAATTATTTCACATATTGATGCCCCTCCTCTCCAGTTTGAGAATCGATGGACAATAACACGTATAGAACGCCAAAGTTAAATACAGTGGAGCGTCGATTATCCAAACTACAAAATTTATTTTTAGCTTAATTTATTTTAGTTTTATCATTCGTTTTATTCTTTATATTGTGTAAATAATATGAAATGCGTTATATTTCTATTTTATTATATTTTATATTATGTATGCATATTATAATTAGTATTTATATCTAGTAAATCAATTTTTTAACTTTGTTTTTAAATATTTTAATTGTTATCTGATTATCCGCACTCCCCTCGGTCCCAATTAGTGCTGCGGATAATCGACGCTCCACTGAACTCTCATTTGTAAATTTCTGATAAAAAATGGACGACGAAGAGATGGTGGGTAAATCAGTAATCTCCAATCTCCACCCCTCAACACCAACCGAATTGTATTTCATTGTACATAATTTACTGGTACGGTCGATGAGACTGTACGGAAAGGTAATTACCGGTTTGGTTCTTAACGGTATACGTCCGTTCGGTGTTTCAGGCCAGAGCGAACGAACTGAGCAGCATGGTGGAGTGCCTGCGGAAGAAAGTGAAGTCCAAGGAAGAAGAACTGAGTTGCGTGCGGAGCCGGGTGTGCGAGCGGCAAGCCGAGCTGGAGCGGCTGAACGATGCGTTCTGCCGGCTGCAGAAGGAGCTGGAATGCAACCGGTCGAAGCTGGCGGATGCCAAGTCGCGGGCCGCGCGGGCCGAGGAATGCCTGACACTGGAGAAGCGTAAACTGTGCAACGAGCTGGAGGCGAAGCGGGAGGCGCTGCGAGGCGTCAAGGCGGAGCTGGCCGACGCCAAGCAGACGGCGGAGTGCGAGCGTGTGACCACGGCCCGGCTGACCGTGCTGGCCGCCGAGCAGCGAGACGCGAACGAACGGGACCAGCGGGACGCGGCGGCCCGAGCGCAGCGGATAAACAAGGAGAACCGGGACAAGGAGGAGAGCGTGTGCCGCATGAAGCACCAGACGACCGAGCTGCGGCGGGATGGCGAACGGGCCGTGGCCGAAGCGGAGGTGGTCAGGGCGAAGGTGCGCGCCAGCGAGTGTCTGCTGAACAAGATCAAGAGCTCGGAGGATGTGCAGACCGGGCGGGACGACTGCAGACGCGAGCAGCTGGAACGGGACCGGGACACGCTGGCGTGCGACGTGCGTCAGAAGTCGAAGAAGATCGCCAACCTAGAGCAGCAGGTGTGCTGTCTGCGGGACGAGGTCGGGGCGCTTCAGTCGTGCAAGAATTGCTCCGCGTCGACCGCGAGCCGTTGTGTCGTTTGCGCGGCACCGTCGTGTTGTCCTCCGCCCGCCACGAAAAAGTGCCCACCGGTCCCGTCCACCACCAAAAAGTGCCCTCCGGCCTCCGTCAGCGCACCGGCCATGCGATTGGATATCTCCACGACCAAGTGTTGCTCGTCTAGCAGCTTGTCAAATATCTGCACCTGCAGCCTCATGCAGTAACAACTGCGCTGCCGTAGGTATCGCTACGCCAAACACAAACGGTGTGCAACGGGGCAACAAGTCGAAATGCGTGTTGAAACGCTTGCCCGAAATCGTCTCTACACGAGTCTCTGCTGAAATTCAATAGCTAAATGTTTTTAAATAAAAACTAACCTATTCTCGATATTTGCGATGAAAATGCACGCGCGTTTATGGTAAATAATTTCATGTAAATCAAACTGATAACTGTCTACGAACCTAGGTTGGGCCGCAAAAATAATCGCACTGACAAAGTCAATTCAACGTTTGTATTGCGTTTATCGAATACTATCCCGAGTAGCAATAAAATGTACAATAATATTATCTAATAGATCAGCGGGTATATTGGTCAAGTAACACTTGTTTGGACTAATAATAAAAATTGGTTATTTTCTTTATATCTTATATTTATACTTAACATCAAAACTATTACATTTTAAGTAGGTAAGATGTTAACTATACTGATATTGCTATTGTTATTGTTAAGTTTTAATTGCTTGTATCGTTTATTTAACTTTACCAGTAAAAGTAGCTTCGGCAGAAAGATAATTTTTAAAATTAAAAATTGATAAAAAACTTTCTGCGAAATAACATGGGATAAAATCGCCTATCTAATATTGCAGTATTACATATAGAAAGAGATGTTGCTGCAAAAATAAAGTTGGATGACGTGGTAAATATATTTGAAAATTATAATGCTATGAAAGTCAACTTTTTAAAATAAAATTATCAAAGAAACTAATAATTTAAGTACCAGATATGATTAAGATTTTACCTTATAATATTGTCAATTAGGTTAATCAAGCTATAAAGACGAAATTACATTTATTAATTAAATTATATATTTCTCCTATATAGGTATATATATAATATATATATATATTGTTTTATATACATTTTTAAAAAGATGATATTATTTTGATGCATTAAATATTCTGTTTATAAGTAGGTACCTACCTTTATCTTAATATTTTTTTTTAATTTGCATTTTTAAGAATCATGAAACAATTAAGTTGTATACATTACACTAAAATAATTCCTAAATTATATACCAAATTAATTAATTAATTTTTATTTGATTTAACTGTCGTCGAATGTCGGCGTTTTTGTCTATTTTAGTATTTTATTATGATCATAATAATTGTATTATTATTCAATCGTGACATTACACGCTATTTATTTATACTTTGCTATTAATTAACTTGTTTTCATTATAACTACGACAGGGAAAATTAGACCATCTATTTTTAATACATATAATATATTTATATATATTTTTAATACAGATAACTAATGTTGTGTAATGCTTAATTTTGTTAAAAATTTAATTTTTGGGCGCCGCAAAGTCGTCCGGGTACGCTGCCGACAAGCGCGCCCACATGCTATTGCTGATCAGCGACGACTTAGACGAGCTGCGCTCCAAGCGCACCACCACCGCGTTGTCCAACTTCTAGAGTCCCGGCACCATGTAGATGACGATGCTCCGATAGTGCACGCATGTCACGCACATCGGGTTCTTGTTCAACGTTAGCGTCCGCAGATTGAACACTTCCACGATGTCCTCGATTTTGTTCGCATGCAGGTACAGCATCGATATATTCGGGAACAACAGGAACTCCTGCAACAGCATTTTCATTTCGAACATCAGTTGACATCCTCAATTTATGCAGACGCATAACGCATAATATATGTAACGTGCACCTTCAAGAGACTTCAATCCCCTGTAAAAAAAATCCAATGGTTTAGCACATTAAAAATATTGATAGGCTGTGTCGCACTCCTGCTGCTCTTGTAACATTCGAAAAATTTCCGGTAGGTACCTATAAGCCGGTGGGTTAAAAAGCGTTTCTTTGGAATAGTGTTATTCAGTCATTATACGACATTATTAAATTTATCATGTACAGGCAATCGACGTTGTATGAGTTTATTTTGTTGAATTTTATTTTAATAAACGTAACCAATCAAACACTCTATAACCGCTATGGTTACGTTTGTTTTTCTAGATTAACGAGGACTATTTTTATTCTTCTTCTTCTTGTTGTAGGTTACGGCCTTCAAAACCATCCCTGCAAACAAATTTGCCGCTATCTTTCCCTATCCTCTGCAGCTTAACTCCACTGTGTATTTGGTTCTACTGCTTTAACATCCTTTTTGATACGATCCACCCATCGTAAACGCGGTCTTCCTAACGGTCTTTTCCCAGTCGGATTTTCTTTAATAATAGCCTTAATGAAAGAGCCCTCTTTCCTCCAGACATGTCCAGCCCATATTAATCTTCTCCTATTTATTTCAGATATAATAAAAATTTTATGCTATGGATAAATTAAAAGTAATATTTTGCTATGTAAAAAATCTGTTAAAATGTCTCAAATTAGTGTCCGTCACAACTAACTATTAGTAAATCCCAGTACTACTACTTAATTACATTCCCAAATTATCTACATATTTATAATAATTAAACTTTTTACCTTAATATTTGTACTTCAATATATTTTTTAGCTCCTACTAGATAACTTTATTATTGATTCTATTAATTCCCAATAGTTCAACTGCTTTAATCACATTTGTTCGGTTGTCTGTAGTTGCACCAGAAATGTTTGATATTTGAATACCCCAATCAACTAGAGTTGATTCAATAATATCACGTAAATTAAAAGATGTATGGTCTACATCTAAGCTGGTGCATGTTAAATAATTTGTTTGCAAAATCCAGTCATTATCAATATAGTGCACTGTTAGGGACGCCCGGATGGAGGGCCATAGCCTCTCCCCTGAGATTTTCGTGTCACTTGCAAAATTGGAAGTTTTTTTACATAAAGGGTATTCTTGGGTATTCAGAGACTATTCGAAAATCCTTGTACCTAACAAGTATCTAAAATTTTTGTAATCAACAAATTTATGATTCAATTAATTTATTTGCTTCAAACAAAAGGAGATTGTCATTACTTTTTGAATAAAATAATAAAATATGATGTGAATTCAATCAAATAAAGTTGTTTTTTGTTTAAACTTTATTATATTTTTTCTTATAAATATTAAAACTAATAGTGTAATTTTATATAAACTTAAATGAGTTTTGATTTTTAAAAATTATTGATGATAGTATTACAAAATATGAGTAGATGAAATATGTAGCAGTAAATCTTCCTATAAGTATTTAGGTACTTACAATTTTTTTGCCCCCTTTGAGCTACATTTCTGCGGGGGTCCCTGTGCACTGTTATTCCTATAGGTACATTGATGTTGTGCATTCGAAGTCTAACAATCAAAATTTGATTACATAACATTTAATGTTAGAGCCAAAAATTGAACTGAACTGTTTTGGCATTTCTGAATTATAATAAGGTAAATATTAACTCCGCTTTTAGTGTAAATAATTTAAATTTATTATAATTTTAACTTGTTTGAGATTATTAGTAACACAAAAATATAAGATATTCATGCCGAGTATTAGGTTTTCAATTTGCATACGTTTATGATGACTTGATGTTTAGAATGTTATATGCCTGATGGCTGATGAAGTTGAACTGTTTTTAATTGTCAAATAACAAAACCACAACGACCGTCGACAATAGGTATTCACAATTTGGTCAAGAATAACTCATAAGTTACAATGGTTTAAACATGATGACAAAATTATCAATAAATCGGGTTTCTTGTTAGTTGTTGTACTAAGTTCTATACCCCGGCAGTCTGGGCTGTATAGTGTATAACCCATAAGGGCCAGAATTCTCAATACTAAACATTTTATAAATAGAAAAGTTTCCTCGTTGATAAATTTTACACGGTATACCGTTTAGACGGTTTTTTACGGTACACCGTTTACCAAAACAATTTGAAAAGACCGGTATACCGTCAGCCCTAGTTGTAATGAATATTATTATACCTATATTTTATTTTTTTTTTCTAACATTCAATTAGTACCTATCTGATTTTACTTCGTCGATTACAGTTGTCGCGTCATTGTCATGTTATAGTGAATAATACCTATTATATTTAAATTTTATTATTTTTTTCGTAATATTTTCGAAATTACGAAAATTAAAACGTTGGCTAGTGATCGTCTGTACCTCCTAATCACTTCGGTAGAAGTGAAGCAGTGGTGTATTTGAGGGGGGGAGGGGGGCAATCGTCCCTCCCACGAGAATTTTTAGACCAAGACAATTTTTATATAAGCAATGGGTATTTTATTAAGAAACAAAAATTATGATTTATTTTAGTGTTACTACATTTAAAAACGTTTCAAATTTTACACTAATTTAAATAACGCAAAACGCTAAATTTTTCATTATGGTTTAATTGTCAATAACGGTAAACGGAAAATTTTTTAAACTATTAAACGCTTAAATTATTTATAGCGTGAAACATTTAATTGCTTATAACGTTTATATGTCCCATAACGATAAATAATATATATTATTTTGATTGAAGATCCAGTACATACTTAATGAAAAATTAGATAAAACACAAGTGAAAATTTCAAAATACAGATAGGTGTTAAAAAAGAACTACACAAAAGACCATTCTAAGTGGATCCGACATAAGATTAAAAAAAAAAAAACACAAATATTAAAGGTTCACCTGATATAAATATTACCAAAAATTGTACTTGTAAATTTTGAGCCTGAATTAAAGAAAAAATTTGAGTTCCTCCCCCTAGATGTAAGTCTAAATACGCCCCTGAGGCGGAAAGAAGTTTTTCCAAATACAAATATTTATAAACAGATAATCTTCGTTTATTTACTGTTGATAACATCAAATACGCCCTAATGATTTTGATTTTTGAGTAATTTGTAAGTTTTGATAAATTTATAAAACAAATGTTTGTCATTTTTTATTTCATATTTTAAGGACATTTGTTGTTATTTTTATGTCATTTTTTGAATAATTTGTAAGTTTTTATAAATTTATGTAGAATATTATAGTAAAATAAAGTAAAATATTTTTATTAATGTAAAGCAAATATTTGTAATTTTATTGGTAATTTTTTAATGGTTTTAAGGTCATCAACTTCCTAGTCCTAAAAATATGTAACTTAGTAGACTGTCATTGTATGTTGTACAATTGTACATTTTTTAATCAAATTTATCATTAAAGAAGTAATCATTGTATTTATAGGATTTAAATTTTGAGTTGAATATTATTTGTAAACTATAACTTATTATTTATACCTGACAGTTAAATATTTAGTAGAAATAAGTTGCGCCAATATGTTTAATTGTAAAAATGTAAATTATATTTTTTGGAGTTTTCATCGGTTGAGAGCCTTGGGCTCATGCCCCATATGAACTTGGGGTAAATGCAGTCTTTACATGTTACTATACTTGTACTGACATGTATTAAAAACTGATTTGAATATTTTCATATTTATATATATATAATAATGGGATGGTAACACTGGGGTTGGTCAGGCCAATTCAAGGCGGTGTGATGACCTGTCTGGAGAAGGCAGTGATGTTGTAACGCCTGATGAGTCATTGTGAAGAGTGTTATAGTTGTTACATACTTTGTTTGTTTTTAAGTGTTTTGTAATTTGTTGTTGCATTGTAATATTTTGAGCCTAAGATTAACATTCGTCTAACGTTATTCCTACTGATTCCATACATATATATATTATTTATCGAATAATTATATAAACAATATTCAAACCGTAAACATTGGTAAAGTATTGGTAATAATTACAACATAAGTACAAACATAAATAAAATTGTTATATACATTTTTCAATATTTTATAACAATAATCAAAGTGAAAAACTCTAATAGAATTGCAATACATTTTTTATTACGAAAGTATTAAAAATTAATTTAAATAAAATGTGCATAAAATGTAGTATTAAATAGGGTTAAAGTTGGAAATTTATATTTTTATCATTCAAAATTGAAGTAAAAATATATTTAATATTTATTAACTATAAATTATGAACCAATAAGCTTTTATAATTAATTATATAAATTATTATTTTATTGTAAAGTAATATTTTTAATGTAAATTATTTCTAAATAAGTTCATTCATCTCATCTAAAAATTAATAATTCAATATGTAATAATAAATAAAGCATTTATAAAAAACTAAAAATAAAAATTTTACACATAAAAATTAATGTTGGTTAAGTAAAATTTACAATAAATGAGATATTCTATAGAAAAAATCGTTCATTAATTAATATTTATAGTACAATAGTAAATTTTATCACAACATTTCTTTATGACCAAAATAAAATTAGATGGTTTACAATAATAAATTGACTAAAACAATATTTCATAATTATAACTTTATATTATTACAGTACATAATATTTAACAATCTAGAAATCATAAACAATCAGGAGAAACATACTTTTAGATGTTATGATATGGATACACAATAAATACAAAAAGTTAATTACAATTGAGAACAAGTGATCCACAGAAAAAGACAGCAACAAAATATATAATAGCCTGAAAAAAAAAATGATTTTTAATTTTAGATTGAATTTTAATAAGAAAAACTATAATATACAAATATACAAATAATACAATTTATTTAAAAAAAATTTAATGGTTTTTATTATTTATTTATTTTCGAAATTTATATGTTACGGGTAAAGTTCAAAAATGAATATTTTATACATTACCCAGGTAAAGTACATTTAATATTATTTTATAAATAAATATAAGTATATAGATAAATAGTAATTTAATGTAATGTTAAAATATAACTTCTATCTAGAAGTTAATGGTTATTAAATAATATAAGTATTAAAATTTAAATAATTTAAAGGTATATAACTATTGTTCATTCTAATATATTAAAATTCCATTAACTATTTTTTTTTTGTATAGAATAGGTTTTGTATGCATATTTTATACACAAAAATAACTTTTAAGTTTTAAGAGCATAATATTATCTAATTTTACTGATCATCTTAAATTATTCCAGGATTGTATCATAACATAGAAATAAAAATATATGATAAATTTAATGTTGAACCTGAAATTAAAAAATTTTACAGATTTTTTTTACGATTAAATATAAATCAACTCTAATTCGAAAAGCATTAACTAAATTATTGTAACTTATAAAATATTAATTTTTTAAATTATATCCGTGAATCTCCAAAAATTTTGATTAATATTATTTTAATTTAAATAAATAATTTTCAAATTGAAATAATATCAAGTTTTTAATTAAATGTGACTTCAAATTATAATATTATAATTTACTCATTAAATTATTCATGAGCTGTCGAAATTTAAATAAAAAAATGTATTATATTATAAGTTATCTGGAGTGTCAGTGTTTTTTTTCAATAGTAATTTTATAATAAGCTTATAAGGTTTTTGAAACACCAACCCTAATTCCTTCCAATATGTCTATAAATTTTATTTTTTAAAGCGCTATAAAATGTTAAGTAATAGAAAAACAAAACACTTTAAATTAAATTAATGTTCAAAAGTAATTTTGATAAAAAATTGTATTATTTCAATGTCACTTAAATAATATTTAATAAATATATGTATTTTACTTACAATTCCTATAAGTACAAATAAAACATAAATTTTTACATTTTTCCAGAATAACGAACGTTGAAGTGTACGACTCTGTACTCTGAAATTCATGGATTGTGAACACAAATTTTCAGTTTTATTAACCAACAATTCAAGTTTTTCTCCTCGAAGAGCTACGTTGTCTGTAAATAATTACCATTAAATATTATTTTTATTTATTAATTTGTTAGGTAATTAATTTCTTTCTTTACCAATATTTCGAACCATTATGTCTTTTAGTTCATCGAGTTGTCCATGTACTTTCGATAATGTATCAAATTCGTTAAGATTAGAAAATCGTTTCTGAAAAAATTGATACTATTATTATTACAAAATGTTGACATTTTAAATTGGATTAAAATGACAATACCATTTCAGAAGCAAGTATTGGAGCAAACTCAGAGTTCATAGAATATGCAATAGCATTCTGTGCTCGAACACTATATGTAGCTTGGAATCTACGTTTTATTTCATTAAGAAAGAAAAATGCTTTGGATCTTTGGAATTCCTATAAATAAAAATAAAAAAATAGTTAAATTCAATTTACTATAATAATGTTAAAAACGAAATCAATACTTACATCGTCTGTGATACACATATAAATTATTTGATCTTCACAAATGTAATGATACAAATAACGATCGTGTAATAAACTTTGTTTTTTATTTTCTGGTCCAATTTGAGTTAAAACACACTCCAAAATTTCACCAAAATTACCTTGGTAGTTTGCATGCTTAGCAAGCACTACCATACCCCTGGTAACTACGCTGTAGAAGAGAGGCATTGTTTATTGTATGTCTTATAAATTACCTAAAAGTAAATAAAAATGATTTAATTACCAATCACTATAATTGATAAAAAATAATTAGTGAGTCTTTATTAGTAGTAAATAGATATAACTGTAGACTGAATCTGCTGATTTAGCAAAGAGACATTAAGAGGAACTTGTTTTTAAAACAATGAGGTCAAGAATAATGATATATTGATATATTTGGATGGAAAATAAGTATATTGTTTTTACCAGATGGAACTTTTCAATTTTCACACCACAAGATTAAATCTAATAATAAATGCAATTTGATTCACAATTATATAAGAAAATAATTTATTTTTTAATTATTAAAAAGTAAAATAGATAGTTAAATTAAGTTTAACATTTTGGTGAGACGTTTAAATTTAAACTTATTAAACTATATCAGCTTTCAAGCAATATATTTGATTTAAAATTTTTGAAAAATCATAATATTTTAGAATCCTGTAATTTAAATTTTACTGTTTGTGGTTAAATTAAACTACTGGTGATATCTATAAGAACAATTAAAATTAAAACACTGACAAAAAGAAAAAAAATTAACTTCTCTGAGCATTTTCCATTATAGAATAAAATTAACTTGATAAATTATAATTTTGATAGAAGTACATTAATAAGTTATTAAAAACAAAATTTATAGTTATTTATAATAACTTAACTATAATTTTTCAATAATTTCATATCTATTGATTCACCATTTTTTATTACTCCAAAACACAAATATTTAATTAAATTTTTTATCTTAAGACCAAATACAGTTATGAAAAAATGTATGACTATTAACTATTACATAATTTATACTGATAACACTATTATATAATGAATATATAGGTATAATTATAAAAGATTTAATGAATGTTTCAAATAATATAATCCAGAAGACTGGTGGTTTTATCAGTATATTGATATCGGGTAAATATAAGTATTAAAAATTTTAGATTTTTAAAAAAACAATTATTTAATATATAAATATTGTTAATTTCTGAAATTTGGTTTTACAACTTATTGCATTTTGGAATTTTTTTTGATTTTATTAAAATTTAGTTACTGAACATAACAAGAAAAAATAAATAGTACTTCAGTTTAATAACTAATTGAAACCCACCTTCTTAATGGTAGGTTAAATTAAATTTGTGTGATAATTAATTAATTTGAGATTTTTATTAAAAATTAATTTATATAATTATAATCATATTTGCTTATTTAATTTATATTTACTTTTTTTTTTTTTTTTTACACATAATTCAATATCTAAATAATAATTAATAGTTATCATATTTTTGGTAAGTAATAAACAATAATTGAACTGTAGTATGTCCAAAGGTTTACATTTTAATTTACAATCACTTTTTTTAATGTTCAATATGTCAAAAGCTCGTTTAAATTATTGGTTATGTTTTAAATAATAATACAGTGGAAAGTAAACCATAAAATAAATGGAGGATGTATACTTTTTATTATATTAAGTTTAAATATAAAGTTTTAATATAAAATTGTGTTTACAAAAGTTGTTTGAAAATGTAATACAATTAAAAGGATATTAATTACGATTTGGAAATAATTTAAGTAGTCAATTTTATCAAAAAATTGATAAATTACATTTAAAAATACTTGAACATTAATTTTATTTAAAAGAAAGATTGAATTAACAAATACCCATAGATACAATTTGAATTAATAGTTTATGTTTTGAATCATGCTTTAATTTATCAGATTATCTTGGATTACATTGTCATAAAATTAATTTTATTTAGATATCACATAGAATGAATATAAAAAATATTTGATAAAGAAATTTATTAATTACTTTCTAACAAAGATTAATAAACACATATGCACACCTGAGTCAAATGAAACACTAACAAAAAATATTTGAAATGTTTAATATTTAACGAGTTATTAATTATTATTGAAGAGGATTTGATTGATTTAGAAATCAATCTCTACACAAAGATAAAAAAAAAAACAACTTGAGAAATACTCAAATGTTCTCTTATTCCTATTCAAAGGAAAAAACTTAAGTGGACAGTAAACATTGGTTTTTTTTACGTATTTTTTACAATCGTTTTTTTTTATATTAGCCTTGATCGATAAATTGTGAAATCAATGGGCAATTCTGTTATTCCCACTCACCTTTAGCGATAAGCCGAAACAAAAGGAATACAAAAATATATTATTACACCATATTTATAATACAGAGTGCAATACTCACTCGTATACGAAATTTTCGTTAAATGTTAATTTTCCAATGTTTAATTCTCCAATCAACGTACATTTTACATACGCGTCCGTGATGTTAAAAAGCAGTCGATTATGTTTTGAGGCTTCTTCGAACCAATCGCGATCCGTGAGGACGGGAAGCCTGATGAAGGTGAACGAGGCGAAAAATGATATTACGGGCGTCGTGCGATGCAACCGTCCGTGGAGACGACTACCTCTATACGAAATATAATCACATACTATGTACGACGTCGTGTATAGTATTCGATACAATACATGTTATTATTATTATTGTTGTTATTCCGATGTCAGTACAGGTCTCGTACGCTATCGTTGTTTTATCAACGCTACGGTTAGGTACGGCGACGGGGTGGGCACGGGGAAAGAAAAGCTTGCGCGACGTAGCTCGTCAATCGGCCGCACGTCGACGGCGGACGAATCGAACAGTAATAATGAATTATCAATTATTTTGCCGAATGGGCGTGCTGCGGTTGTCGTCGTCGCCAACAACATAGTAAACGCAGCGATATTTTGCGATTGCGGTGATAGTAGCTGGTGCCCGTATCTCCGTCTGTCCAACGCAGTGTCTGCGGGACGACGACGACGATGGACGGTACGAGTAGTCGGTCGTGTTTTGGCACTGCTGCCGTAGGCTTTTTGCGAAAAACGTGCAACCGAACACGATTACAATATCGTTATTATTATTGTCGTAGAGACATTTGTCGACCAGTTGTACCATTGCGCCGATAGCGTTATGATTTTTTGTCGCTCGCTGAATGTTCCATCGTTTTCCCTTCGTTTCGCCCGTATCGACGACGAGAGAGCGCATTTCTCTGTTCTTCACGACATTTCGTGCGGGGGGGAAATAATTGCTCCCGTGTGACGGGACGGGCGACCCGATGTTTTCGACGCGAAATCCGCGCTCGACCGTCGCCCCGGACAAACGTCGCATAACGATTATTGCCGATAACACGCGGCATTGCAGGTGATAACGGGACGCGGACCGTGTGCGGTTGTTTTGTTTGGGAGTTCTCGCTACCCGAATGGCAAATGAATAGAATATATTAATGCAAAATAACAAAGAAAATGTTAACAATCGATTCGTAAACGCGTCGATCCTCGCGTCCGTATCTGCACTTTGTTTGTTTGATTTTGATTGTTTTTACTTCTTTCCGTAAACGCGTCTTACTCGTATCCGTGCAGCTCGTCTCGGTCATGTTCCTGCGTTCGTGCGCTTTCGTCGATCATTAATAAATTAATGATGCGCCGATACTCCATCGACGTCTCGCACTTGGGCTGTGGTTAACGTGATACTCCTCCCTCGTCGTGGCACTGTAAATACGCAATCATGTTCTCTTGGGTGCGCAACCGGAGACAATTGACCAGACTCGGTTAGTATTTCAACAATAGTTTTCTCGTCGGTTAAATTAAACATGTTTTACGTACTCAACTCAATGGTACTTATCATACACAGCTATTATACTATGTTGGCACAATGTTATCCATATTTCAGTAACATTGTAACAAATCCCCACATTTCTTGATAGTGTTGGTACTTCACGCTCAAGTTGTTTGATTTTAATAATTAGGGCGTTTTCACTTTCACGTGATTTAGAAAGCTATTATAAGTGTTCTATTTTATATCTGAATTTGTGTGCTCAATATATATTTGTGTTGTTAAAAACACTATATACATTTTTCATACTGTTAAATTATAACAATTTTAGAAATTATAATAACTTGACTATACTTATTATGCTAAGGTGTGTCATCTAGATTACTTTATTTTTTGTTTTTTTTATTGATTTCTAGTTATAAATGACCACAATTTTATTGGTTTTAAGCACTGTTGATTTCAGTCTTACAGCCCTTAGAGCTATAAATTAACTAGTTTATCATGTAGAAAGAAATAATTAAAACCTTTCTGTATTGGTTTATTATTCTGCATGTACTTACACTTTATTCGATAATAGTATTATTTTTGTTCCCAATTTTAAGAATAATAACTATTGATCTACCATTAAGTCAAGTTATATTGGTATGTAAGTACATTTTAAATCCGTGTTCTATCTAAACATACTAAAGTATTGTACTAGAATACTTATACTATTATATATTCTTAATAATAGACATAAAAGTAAGTGTTTATATATTATGCTGTAATAATAGTTCATGTAAATGTATTTTTAAAGTATGATCTTTTTATAATTATTGTTTAGACCTTAAATTATTAATTTTTAATGAGAAAATATGTAAGATTTCCATTTAATTTTTATTATCTTACACTTATAACTTTTTTTAGCTTTGTTTCTCATATCCTACAACAATTTTTTATCAATTAATGTTTAATAATAATAAAATAATAATGAATGAGTTATTAATACTCGTAAACGATTATATATAAATAAATAGTTTACACTTGTATATAGAAATAAATAATGAGTTATGATTTTATTGACTTTATATATACTGACTTCATATATACCCGATGATGAATTTTTAATTTGAAACAAGTCGTAAATTACAAATAATACTCTAGGCTTGACATTTATTTATTATTTATATATATATATATATATATATATATATTAATTTATGAGTATTTACAATTTTATAATGCTTTCTCTATTAAATTAATTTCAATATTAATAATGTAATATAGTTATTTAATTTTTAGTATTATAAATTTATTTTTATATGTATTGAGTTTAATTTATATGCACATAATATAGATATAATTTACATTTTAGAATTTGAAAAATGCAATGGGTGCACTGATTTTATAAGAATATTATTTTTATTATTATTATTATTATTATTATTATTATTATTATTTTTTTTTTTAAGTACTTTTTTTTAAACAATTTGGTTAATTTACTTGATTTCCTCATCCTACATTTTAAAAATGTTTATAGAACAAATTACAATTTTAACGTTTGATTTATATGTATCTAGATTGTTATGAAAAATGTTGCTTTACTTTACACATTTAAAAACATAGTTGTGTTTTCATAATTCTGTGTGTCATATTAAGAAGACTAATACAAAATTATACCATAATATTTTTTCAATTTTCTTACTTTATGTGTTAAATTAGGTATCAAGCATAATTAATTATTATTGATTTATTATTTAAAATTAAACTTAATAAAATTTATAATTTATGTTATTAAAACCTGAATTATTAATACAAACAAATATGCCTGTATCTCCATAACTTAAAGTTAAATTAATAACTTCAATTAATATAATATAAACCTAATTTTGGTCTGAGATTGTTCTGAAGCGTTGAATTTGTTTCAAATGTTTTCTAATAAAATAAGCCATACCTACTTGATGTAATTTATTTTTACTGAATTCATCATAAAAATGTGTTTTTACATCAATACATTTTTTCTTGTATATTAATATAATTTTATATTTTGTCAACTTATCAACAAAATCTTATCATAATTTTGTGACAATACCGTGTTTCCTAAATTATGAATACAAAATAATATTAGTCATTAAATCTAATTTTTGGTTGTAATGGGTTATGTATCATGTTTTATAATTTTTTTTTCATTTGTCATATATCGTGTTAGAGATACTGACAGCAAACAGTATATTTGCAGGACTACTAGCTAAACAAGTGTTCTGTATGTTTATTATTTGTTTGTTATGTTAGCAGTAACTAAGTATTGTGTGTATATATACAATTTTGAATTGACCATGTCATTGTTTAAACCATTCCGAGAGTATAAGCATTCAGAAGTAGAAAAGTGAACAAATATGTACAATAATTTCTTGACGATAATTTTCAAAGTGATGGTGAGATTTTCTACTATTCTCGATGTGAAAAATCTGTTTCAATTGAACAACGTATTTAGTAAAACAAAATATAAGGGCCACCAAATTCCAAAATAGTAAAATAAGAAAACAAAAATTTAAACAACAGTTTTTTGTTTAGGCCACTTCTTTAGGTCTATAAAGTTGTCATTTAATCTTTGCCATGCTTTTATACATGAAGATATTCCAGTTTTTAAGTTGAACAATAAATCTTTAAATTATTTTTCATCAAGGTATTACTAAATATAGACCAAACTGTAGAGCAACTTACTTTCAAAATTTGAGTATGTATGTATTTACCTATGTATATGGTATATAATGGTATCTAATAACAAATCAAGATCTAGAGTAAGGTTTAATTGTATAAATTGTATTTTGTATTTGAATTTTTTTACACATATATATATATATTTATTAAATTATTATACTATATTTATTATATATGATATTATATATTTTGTTTTTCTTTATATATTTAAATGCGAGCCCTAGTGATAAATAATTATATCTGTGTAAATTAAGTAAATTTTGGATTTACTAAGTAATTTATTGGTATAAATAAAATAAAATTAGAAATTGCATAAAATGTTATTTTTAACTTATAATATAGGTAGTTTAAAAGTACTATAAATGGTTTATAATTATTTTTATGTATAATATTATAGATGAACTTGGTAAAAGTTATATTGAAATCATTTGATAAGGCATATAATATTAAGTTTCAATTGTTTTACATAATATTAAATACATACTTTTAAAATATATGAAATACCTTATACTCATTATATTAAATTAAATTATTATCAATATCTAATTACTATCAAGTTACAATTTTTTTTTATTTTCATTTGCATCTTAGTTTCATTGAATTAAACTAATAATTTAATTATTATTGAACAATTATTGTTTTAATATTTGCTTTATATTAGTCTTTCATTACTTATCCTTTTTTTTAAAGATATCCTAATTTTTTACATTCTTATAGTATGTGTCTTGAATTTAAAGTTGTTTTATATGATTAATATGTGGTTATGTGATTTGTGTTGTAAAAAATGTTTACTAAAAATTATAAAATATTAGGAAATAATAATATTTATTAATTGGTATTTAAACATTGCTAAATATAATTAACAATTATTAAAAATTATAAATTATTAGTTGATTATAAAGTTATGATTATATTTATGTTAAAAAAATCATTTGAATATTAGCTATTATGTCTCAAAATTACTGTATACAATGAGTTTAAATTTTTCGTTTTTTACTCCGACCTTCTGACTTTACAAATTAATATCAAGATTGTTGGAATTATCATGTAATATTTTACTTGGTGAGTAATTAAAATTGTATACTTGTTATAAATTATAATGCTAATTTTAAAGTAAGCCATGAATAAAAATAATTGTTAATTTTTTTTCAACTTTGAATTATATTTTAAAAAATTTCAAATTATATGTAATTGTCAATATTTAATAACTAAGATTTCTTGAAGTATAAATTCTTAGTAAGTAAGTAAAAAAGTAAGAAAGAATATTATGAGTGCGAATATTCTCCTTTACTATGATATTTTTAAGTACCTTTATTTTGCTAAAATATTATAACACAATAATTACAATGGTTTAATTTATTACTGTTAAATGCGCACTAATAAACATTATTATATGCATTTTTTTTGATTTAAGTAAAATAGGTAATTAGTATTGAAAGAATTAGATGGATTATATTGGATGTTAGGATATAATTTGTCATATTATATAAACATGAGATCATTATAAATAATTAAATAGGGTATTTATGAAAAAAATGTATAAGTTTTAAATTAAGTTTACCAAGTACCTAATTGAAAATAATACATTTTTATGAAGCAAGTATTTATTTATTAACATATCAAACAATATTCTGTTCATTTAGAATAACTTAATGTTAATACATGTAAGTACATACTTAATCAATTAAAAATGTATGATAATTTTTTTATGTTAATTCATGATTTTATTTGAAATTTTTTTATACATTTATTTATGTTCTTATTTTTCTCTAAATATTATAGTTTGTCAATTAATTTTAAAAACTATACAAGTAACATAAATTAAAAAATTTAAACATATAATACAGAATGGTTAGAATATCTAATAAATTTAATCTAAAATTTAGAAGTTTATGTTTAATATTTAAAATTAATATATTTGTATTTGCAATTATAATATTCTTTGTATTATTTATATTTGGAAATAGCCTTCAGTTTTTGAGTTTATAGTTCAAATAAATAAATTAATTAATTGAATAGTAAATGAGAACACATAGTTTCTAAATTATACTTTGTTTTAATAATTTTTGGAAATATGAGGCTCTTTTCGGTTATTGAATTATTTAGTATTGTAAATTGTGTTTTCAGATTACTTTATATTATGAGATAATTAATCCATATAAATTATATTAAATCATTTTTAATCATATATTTTTTGTTTTAAATGAATTTCATATAAAGTAAATTTTTATAAATTCTTTAATAGTTGGTTTTCCAATATTTAATATTTTTATTTTTTATGATTTTATAATACAC